AAACAAAAATGCCAGTGAGATCTCTCTTTATGCCCACTGGGTTGGCAAAATTGAAGCACTAACTAATGCCAAGTGTTACTTGGGATGTCAGGTTAGGGGATGATCATGCACTGATAAAGGTAGTAGCAATTTGGGGGACAACTTGGCAGTACTTGTTGCATTAATCCCACTCCTGGATATATATTCAGAGGAATTCTCACACAGGTCCTTGGTGGGACATGAAAAAGGAAGTTTGTCAGTGTTTGCAGTAGTGACAAGTTGGGGACAATCTAGGTGTCCATCACTGGGGGATTAGATAAGGAAAGTGTGGTGAAATAATGTGCAGAAGTTAGGAGCAATGAACTAGATGTACACACAGCAGCATGGATGGATCAAAAAATAGCACCAAGTGAAAAACAGAGCAATACCATAGGTAAATAAAAAATTTAGGCTCACCAAAAATAATATTCAACACATGTAAGTGGAGGAAACACATCAAACCTATTAGAATGATTGGAGGCCAAGGAATGAGAATAGCAACTAAAGATACAAGGTCGTAAATAAAGAAAACTAGAGAAAATAGGTATGGGCCCACAGTGGGAGTGAGCATGAGCTAAGGAGTGCGATTAACTAGGTGACAAAACAGAGACGAAGGAAAACAAAACACACCAAAAAATGAAGGAAGTAATAAGAAGAGAAAATATAGAATAAAAAAGCAAACTGTTAATAAAGTAAATGTTGTATTCAGTACAAAACCAAAAAACTGTATGTTACATTAACACAACACTGTAAATCAATTATACTTGGATAAAATAAATGAAAAACCAAAACCAAAAAAAAACCCTATATGCTACATATAAGAGACATCTAAAGGAAAGTTGCTCAGAAAGTTAGAAGTGAAAGATTGGACAAAGACATATGAAGCCAAAAAGCACTGGATGAGAGTGGAAAAGGCTAAAATATATGAGAAAGCTCTAAGCCTCATAAATCTTTGGAATTAAATACCATGCCATCAAAATACTTGACACATGGACTGCGGGAAATGGAAGGAGAAATAAACTTAATCACAATGACAAAAACAAATGATGCCTGTAGACCCACAGCAGATCAAGTAGATAAAAAATAAGGGTGCATATGATTCAAATGATATATGATTAATAAGAAGTGACTAATGTATATATATTGAACTCCCGATTCTGGTAACAGAGAATTCACTTTCTTTTAAGTACTCATAGATGATCTACCAAAATTGACCATATTTTAGGTCACAAAGAAAACCTTTAAAAATTATAAAAGCAATCAAATTATTTTAAAAATCACAAAATTAAGGGAAAAATCCTTTCATCAGGCAATTAAAAAATTCCTCTTTTAAATAAATTTCAAGGTCAAAGAAGAAAATAAAACTGATATTACAGACTTGAAAATAATTATAATCAAAACACTACCTATCAAAACTTAAGGGATATGATTAAAACTCATCTTTAAACAATTGGAAAGAGTACCAACAAGGAAAAATGAAAATAAATGAACTAAGCATTGAAATTAAGAACAGGAAAATATCAGCAAAACTAATTAAGATAAAAGCAAACATTACTGAATAAAACAAACAGAAAAACCCCAACAGAATATGTGAATACGCTCAAAAGCTTTTCTATGAAAAATAGATACACCACTGAATAGACTGATCAAGAAAGAGGGGACAATGAGTAAATATACAACTTTTGAAAACCTACATTAAATGGATGACTTTCTAAAAAATATAAATTACCTTTTTTTTTTTTTGCAGGTAGAGGCAGTTAAATAAACAGAACAATAATCATGAAAAACAATGAGAACATTGTTAGGAGCCACACGTTACAAACGTATCAAGCCAGATGGTTTCACACACTAATATTTATTAGTCTTCAAAGAAAAGATAAATTTAGTAGTATTTAAAAATTTTTTGAGCAATCACAGAGAAAGAAAATTTCCAAAATAATAAGAAACCCTAATATGTATAAAATGGAAAACTAATAAGAACCTGCTGTATAAAAAAGCAAAAACAAACAAACAAAAAGAAACAACACAGCATCGATCAAAGCTTTTCAAAGAAAGCATAAAAAGCTACAGAGAAATCCTCATTATGGATATCTATGCAAAAGTTTTACATAAGATATCAATACTATCAAATTGGATTCCGTAGGATATTAATATATGTCATAGCCAGGTAAGATTGTGATAATTATTCATTATCAGGAAAACCGTTAATGAAGGAATATATATTTTCAGTTTTCTTCTTCCCATATCCACTAAGATTCAAAACTTAGGTACAAATTTCTAAAAGAAAACACCCACTCAAATATTTTTTGAGACTTAGACACTTCTGAAGTTTTGGGGGGCTCACAGGATAGGTTATATCATGGAGCACGTGGCTTTTTCCTTTTCTTCAGTTTGCACACCCAAACCCAATCAAGATAATCAGCAGAACAAAAGACCTTATGAATCAACATTCTCCTGAGGGGAGCGATCAAGATGGTTGAATAGTAGGACATGAAGTTCACCTCCTCCAACAAATACATCAAAAATACATCTACTGATACATGTGGAATGATTCTCACAGAATATCTACTGAATGCTGGCAGAAGATCTCAGACTTCCAAAAGGGCAAGAAAATTTCCATGTAACCGGATAGGACAAGATTCTCCTGAGAGGTCAGTTTTTGTGAAAACACACACACACACACACACACACACATATGTATAAAATATAAAAACAAATATACTAATTCATATATATTTATATATCACAGAACATTTTAGAATTATCAGAATATTAACAGCAGTTACTTCTGAGTATTAAAATTTTGACGAATTTTCATTTTCTTTTTTGTATAATATTCTTTTTATAATATGCTTTATATTTGTAATTTAATAAAATATTTTAAAAAGAAATTATTTAGGAACTAGTTTCTTCCCAAGTCACTTGGAAAGAAAATTAAATACTGTACCCACATTTTCTTTTCTTTTCTTTCTTTCTTTATTTTTAAAAATTTATTTATTTTTATTTATTTTTAATTTTTGGCTGCATTGGGTCTTTGTTGCTGCACGTGGGCTTTCTCTAGTTGCAGCAAGCGGTGTCTACTCTTTGTTGCAGTGCATGGGTTTCTCATTGTGGTGGCTTCTCTTGTTGTGGAGCACAGGCTCTAGGCACGCAGGCTTCAGCAGTTGCAATGCGCAGGCTCTAGAGCTCAGGCTCAGTAGTTGTGGTGCATGGACTTAGGTGCTCCGTGGCATGTGAGATCTTCCTGGACCAGAGCTTGAACCCGTGTCCCCTGCATTGGCAGGCGGATTCTTAACCACTGCGCCACCAGGGAAGTCCCCACACTTTCTTTTATTTTGTCTGTTTTATATGCCCACGTGTCTACCATCAGATGTAGGGCCCATCTCAATTAATTCCTTGCTTGTTTCACCTCAGGAGCTGCTACATCTGCCCAAGAAAGTAGTATTGGGATCCCCAGACAGTTCTGGAAGAGACTGGAAAAGCCAGGGCCGGGGCCAAGGTGTCAGTATGGAGGGAGAATTTCTTCAAACTTGGTTTCTTTGGGAGCTGGATTTTGCCCCAGATGCAGGCACAGTTGAAACTTTGGCTCAGAAGAGCAATTTAGAGTCCTGTTGAGGAGAGCCGCAATGGAGCCGCAGGTAAAGCATTAAGGTCTGTCCAGAACTGTTGGACCAACCAGGCCTGGGAGGCCAAAAAGGAGAGAAACTGAGGCCTGCTCAGTCTCCAGTCTCTAGTCTCCCTATCTTCAAAAAGAACTAGGCCAGAATGCTGTAGAGAAAAGGGAAAATGGTGGTGAGAAGAGGGAGATCTGAAAAGGGATTTTTCAGACAAACTCACGGTGTCTCCCTGGAGAGGTGAAGCCCAGTATAAGGAAGAAGGCCAAACCTGAGCCCCAGACCTGTCACTCTTATGGAGACCATCCCAAATCAGTAAGCTGGCCCTGGGACGTCTTCCTGGACTTTGCTCTTTCCAAAAGGTCTTTATGAGTGATGAGTGTTCAAACTTGCCCCAACTCTGTAAGGAAGCTGGGCCAGGTATTATCCCACTTTTCTGACAGAGATAATGAGCTTCAGAGAAGTTTGCTGCTTCTGTGGCTGGTAAGTGGGTGAAGCGGGCAGGTCTCAAGCTCTGCATAGCTGACTATAAATCCTGGATCCTTTCTGGTTTCCAAAGCTGATTCATTTCCCTGAATGAGCCACAGGCCTTTAGATGCTCCTAAAACTGGGCATGGGCTCAATAGTTCTAAAGACCCTTCTTTTCACCACCTCTCAAGGGCTGCTTCTGCACTCCTGGCCCAGGGGACTGGGGTGCTCTGCCAGAGATAGGGTCTGTGGCTGGGCCTGAGGGAGCAGTCCCACTGGCTTCTGCTCTAGTCACAAATGTTATAGAGGCTTTGGGATCTGCAGTGGGCTTTCTTTATTTTACTTCCACCCTCAGTTTGTGGCCTGGTTTCCTTGATGGACCCAGAGTCTTTCCAATGTCCTTCCCATCCCCCATCCCCTGTCCCATCAGGATCTTGAGAGAGAAGGAGCATCTGGATCTTCCCCACCCAGTGCTCTTTCTATTCTGGGATTCATTTTGATGAGTAGAGTTGTTTAGGGGAGAGAACGCAGAAGAGCTGCTGGGATTATAGAACAATATAAGCAGTGTGACCTGGATTAAAATCACTCAAACTGTGTAATTCTATGGTTTCATAATTATTTTCCTAGTATTATGGCCAAACTCATGGCTGTGAAAATGCCAACATCTTATCTTTTGAGGTGGCAGATACAGGCTAATAATAGCATGCATAAGAGAGTCCTTTATAATTCTGGACTATCTAATATGAACTAACAGTGTTGTCCTGACCACATGCTAGTGTAGAATGTGTGAGTGGTTCTAAAGGCAACAGGGGCAATGGAGAGTATCAAGGTGGATTGGAGGCAGCATAGAGAAGGGCCTCGGAGTGGGATAAGCCAGTTCCCATGCCCCAGGCCCTGCCATCACCCGCCTTCACACACTGTGCCTGTATCCTCATCGTGCCCACAGTCAAAGGTCTCCACCTGTTCACATTCAGCCAGGGCCTCTTCTGTCCCATTGCACAGGGCTACCTGAATAAATAAAGGTTGGTCATCTTCTGCCACTGGCAGATACAACATGCCTGCAGGTGTGTGTTTGGCTGCTCCACAGCCCAGCTCCCGGCACACCACGGCCACATCCTTCATGTCCCAGCCGTCATGACACACAGTGCCCCAGCGACCTTCCTTTTCCACCTCCACCCACCCATTGCAGTGGTGGGCACCATTCACCAAGCGGATTTTAGGTGGATGTTCTGCAAACAGAAGGGGTCAGAGCACACTGAGAAATGTCCTCTTGGGCTTCCCTGGTGGTGCAGTGGTTAAGAATCCGCCTGCCAATGCAGGGGACACGGGTTCGAGCCCTGGTTCGGGAAGATCCCACATGCCATGGAGCAACTAAGCCTGGGCGCCACAACTACTGAGCCCATGTGCCAAAACTACTGAAGCCTGCGCGCCTAGAGCCCATGCTCCGCAACAAGAGAAGCCACCGCAATGAGAAGCCTGCACACCGCAACTAGAGAAAGCCCTCACGAAGCAACGAAGACCCAACACAGCCAAAAATAAATAAATAAATAAATAATTAAAAAAAAAAAAAGAAATGTCCTCTTAGGGCAGTTCCCAGTGTTAAGAGAGGTTGTTTGATAGTGGTGGTGATATGTGGTGTGGGGGTAGGGGGCTTGCTGAGTTGGGAACCACAGAGCTTTGCTCTATCCCATGCTATTACCATCTCCTAAGAGCATCTCACCGCACCTAAGGCCCGCACTCAAAGACACCTAGGAAAAGTTTTTGCTTTCTGAAAACAAAGGAATATGGGCACATAGAGACTTATGGTTTGATTCTTATGAGCTCAGAAAGATCTTAGAAAAAGAGAAGGTTAGAACTAGATCTTTCCCAGAAATGGACACTGAGGCTTAGAATAGGAAAAGGCCTAGAATAGGTCAGTTGAGTTACTCAGTTTCCTTTTGCTCCACTTTATTACTGACTTCACCAATCACAGGCTCATATTCTCTGCAGAGAGAAAGGGGTGAACATATCACACAGACTGGTCAATTCCTAATCTTTGCCTATTTTTTCTTTTTGTTGTTGTTGCAGTACGCTGGCCTCTCACTGTTGTGGCCTCTCCCGTTGCAGAGCACAGCCTCCGGACGCGCAGGCTCAGCGGCCATGGCTCACGGACCCAGCCGCTCTGCGGCATGTGGGATCTTCCCGGACCGGGGCACGAACCCGTGTCCCCTGCATCGGCAGGCGGACTCTCAACCACTGTGCCACCAAGGAAGCCGTCTGTCTATTCATTTGGTTTTTGTTTTTTAAACTGGAGTAATGTGTAAAGAGACTCTTTTCTCTAGGATATCTAGCAGAAAGGAGGGATATAAGCCTGGAGATGTCAGTGGCCAGCTTTGCCTGTCTGAGAGTTAAGCTAATGGAGAAATGCAGAGGAAAGAGGGGAGGCAAAGACAGAATGCTCGGCCAGTTGCACATTAGCCATGTCCATACCTGACCCCTCCCACCAACTTCATTTCTTTTTTTTTTGGGACCAAGCCCTTTTGTATGGGATTTCTGTCATTAACAACCAAAATGTCACATCTTACACAGTCAATTACCAAGTTCTTGGCAAAGCCTCTGTAAAAAGCTAAATTTAAAAGAATTATAGATAATAATGTGAATATGATTCTCAAAAATTAATAGATTAAAAAGAGCAAACATATGTAAGACTCTATAGAAACTGAATAGATCAAGCAGCTAGCTTAATTTAATAAAAAAATAAATACTGAACTTTGTATATCCTAAACAGAAAATTCACATTCTTTTCAAATTCCATTTATAGTATTTAGAAAACTGTTGACTGTGTGTTAGGTCATAAAGAAATTCTCAGTAAATCCCCAGTGTAAAAATTACGCAGACCATATTCTTTGATAAAATTTAATACAAGGATAATTAAAAAATCTATAATGAAAAGTTTTAAAAAAAGAAATCTATAAGAAATTAATAAAATAGAAGATAAAAATGTATTCATAAGAAATGGTTGTCTCAAGTTATAAAATAAATATGTGAAACATATTTCACATGCTTTGGAAATTAGACAAATAAAAATATTATACATCAAAACTTGTAGGATGAGATAAAATGGTACTGAGAAGAAACCATGCAGTTTTTAATGCACTTATTAGGAAACAAAGATGAAAAATGAATAAGACATTAAAGAACTACATAAAATAAACTTAAAAAGGAAGAAAGATATACTGAAGATAAAGGAGAAATAAATGAATTAGAAGACCAAAAACCAAATAGATTTGAATTAAAAAAAAACAAACCTAGGGCTTCCCTGGTGGTGCAGTGGTTGAGAGTCTGCCTGCCGATGCAGGGTACACGGGTTCGTGCCCCGGTCCGGGAAGATCCCACATGCCGCGGAGCGACTGGGCCCGTGAGCCATGGTTGCTGAGCCTGCACGTCCGGAGGCTGTGCTCTGCAACGGGAGAGGCCACAACAGTGAGAGGCCCACGTACCACAAAAAACAAAAACAAAAACAAAAAAAACCCTGGCCCTTTAAAAAGAGGAATAAAGACAAACCTCTGGCAAATATGATTAAGAAAGGGGTCACACAAACCAGAAATGAGAAGAGTGCATAATCACATCTATAAAGGCTGTCTGAAAATTCGATGAGAATACTATGTATTAAATTTGGGTAAAATCATCCAAATTATTTTAACAAAGGATAGAAAATTTGGAGAATAATAAAAAGGAGGATTTGACAATGGAGGTAAAGATCTAACAGGCTCAGAATGTTGTTTGGGCTAGTTCCAAAGACTTATCAAATAGCAGATAATTCCAATATGGTTTTAAGCTGCAGGGCACAGAAAATACGGAAAACCTCTGAAAACATTCTTATGAGGCTAACCTATCCCTGAAACCAAAACTAGTTCAAAAACTAAAACTCACTTTTAAATAAAGATGCAAATATTTGAAATAAATATTAGTAAGTTGTATGTAGCTGCTACCTATGCTATGATGATATAACAACTAAGAAGGGTTTATAGCAGGAATTCAATAATTGTTCCATATTAGGAAATCTATTAATGCACTTCTCCACAATAGTAAATTAAAGGGAAAAAATTATATAACCATCATATTAAAGTAGTGGCAGGGAGCAAAGTTTTTCAATTCTGTAGCCCTAGCCTAAAGTTCTATCTTTGCACCTATTAGCTGTGTGACGGTGGGCAAGTTACTTATTCTAAATTTAGTTTCCTCATTAGTAAAATGTGAGCTGTTAATGGAGATTAAATGAGATAATCCTAGTAAAGTTTTGAATCCTAGAATCTGGTTTGTTCATGGGGTTTCTACTTTTTCCTTAAGTATTTACAAGGTTTGGTTGTAACTCCTTGCTCGCTGAGAGCTCTGAGCGTACACGTACCCCACTTCCAGTACTGCCTTGATCCTAGTACAGTACCTATTTCACACCTATATGTTGAGGTAAGTGACAGGGAAACAGGAAGGCCAGTGATGCTGTTGTTTAGACCAATGAGAAGGAGAGGTTGGAAGAGCTGACAGGCTCTTTAGGCTAGCTTCGATTCCCTGAGGGAGAGGAAAATCCATGGAAAGGACGCACAAGCCATGGTTTGGCATAATGGCAACTAGTACTGTGGAAGGAGATGTTGGACTTGTCCTTCCCGTGACGTTGGGCCCCCAGGCCACTGTCGGCTTCGCAGGCATGGTTCCCAGAATGCCCTGTGGTCAGAGAGAGGTTGAAGGATGCTCCTCCTCCAAAAGGCACCGAGGTGCTCCCCAGGGTGACATTTTCATGATAAAACCGGTATAGGATGGGGGGAGATGCTCTCTTGTTCTCACAGCGAAGCTCCACCATGTCCCCAGTGAAGGCCTGGGCCCCAGAAGTACTGAAAGGGAGGACAGGATGTGACACTGGAACTGATAAAGGCAGGACTGTCCATCAAAGAGGGTCTCTCGTGCCGGCACAGACTTATAACCCACTCCATCCTCACCCAAGTGTCCACACAGTATCCCTCGAGCCCCAGGGATTCTTTCTCACTGTCGCACCTCCTGATCTAACAACACTGCAGAGACAGTTCCTGTAGAGCTTTGATAAGTTCTGGAGAGCGTGCCTCTGGCCGTGCCACGTAGCCTGCTTCCTGTATCCCCTTGTCATCTCCTTTAGCTCTTCTGCCGCTGTAGCCATTGCCACCGCCGCCAACACCATTGCAGTAACAATCCTAGCATGTTCAGATGGCTTCTAAACCTCTTCACGGCCCTGTTCTGTACCATCCTTGGAACATCCTCACTGCCACAGAAGGAAACTGACCCCATTTGGGACTCTCTGGCTAATTAGGAGAGTGCTACTTACTTCTCATGGAGACGTTCACCGCCTTGCTCTGGATGAGGCCATAGCCATTGTCAGCTGTGCAGTAGTAGCCCCCTGCGTGGCTCTCCCTGATAACAGGGATCTCCAGCTCTGCTCTCTGGGAACGCTGACTTTTCTGCCCCAAACTCTCCCTCGTGTCCTCTCTGTGCCAGGAGAACATGGTGTCCCCTGTGCCTTCAGCCACAGAGCAGACAAGGACTAGCATCTTCCCTTTGACCGCCTGGTCCCCCTGGGGTTGGGTCTCCAGGAACACTCCAGATATGGGGATTCCTGTGTAAACATAAGAGGGCAGGTGAGGGCCTGATGTGGAGGCTGTTACTACCTGCTGAGCATTATGGCAGGTGGAGCTGGTAGAAGGTTTAGGCAGAGGCATATTTTTATCAGGGATGTGCATGCTGAGGGCCTTCAGGAAGGATCACCCTGCTACTGAACACTCCAAAACTTCAAACTTGCACTTTCTCCACACTCATTAGCCTTCACTAATGCCCACAGCCTACAGTAATCTTGCTCCTTCCTGATCTCCAGATAAACTTGGGGCAGTGGGTATGGTGGGAGGGGGACAGGGGCAGTCCCCACCCACCTCTGCCACTTATTCATTGCATGATCTTGGTAGATAAATTAATCTCTCTGATCCTCAGTTTTCTCAAAGATAAAGTGGATAATCATACCAACTTTATAGAGTTCTCGTGAAGATGAAACAAGATACAAGAAAGATGATACAAGATACAAGATGTATAAAGAACCCATTACACGGGAGATGTCCAGCAAATGGTAGTTATTACTGGTACCACCCTCCACGGGCCTGGCTGAGGTAGGAAATGTAGCAAGGTGGTTAAAAGGGCAAACACTTGTACCAGAGTGCCTGGGTTTAAATTCCAGCTGTGCCATTTGTTTGCTGGGTTCCCTTGGGCAGACCATTTAACAGCTCTGTGCTTTCAGTTCCTCATGTGTAAAATGGGGATGACAGTAGTATCCATTTTACAGACACTTTCACCCTACTTCACAGGGTTGCTGTGAGGACTAAACATAAAACTGCTCTGAGCAGTGCCTTCCTAGTACTTGGTAAACTTTCTACAAGTCTTCTACTCTGCAAATATTTCTGAGCATCAGAGGGGTTCTGAATTGAATACAACAGCTTGGATTCAGGCTTAGCATTTAGTAAACTGTTTATAAATGCTGGGGATCCTTACTGTTTTTTCTATCATCATCTCATCATCATTATCATTATCACCATCATCACTTTGTTCCTTCATTGCTCTTCCTGGGTTAAATGTGCCTCCTAGTTGGGAGTCATTCTCTGCAGACAGAGACCATGATTTATTTATCTCTTGGTTCACTGAGCATACTTCAGTGCTAGGCATACATAAATTCTCCAGAGAGGGATTATTTTCTGACAGGGAGAGCAAAGCTATTGGGAAATGGTGCCATGGTAGCAGTTAATAAAGCAGAACCCAGATGGGTCATTGTAACCCCCACACACACGGGGATGGGGGGAAGCACAGTTGAAAAGACAAACACAGGTCTGAATGGGAGCTACTGTTCTCTGTGCCACCGAGCCCAGCAGTCCAGCGCTGAAGCTCAATCTACCCTTGTATATAGGATTGGTGACTCTGTTTTGAGATACTGTGAGATGCTGTCATCGCTTCACACCAGTAATATCCTGAGTCTTCCTTCCATATTGATGAGATCCAAAACTCTGTGAGCTCCTGTCTGACCTCAGGGTGTGGCCATCCTTGAAGAAGGAGTAGCCAGCCACCACACTGTTCTGTGACCCAGCCCTACAGCTTGGGCTTTTTTGGGGGAAATTTTTCAGTTGGCAATGGAGCTAGAAATTATTAAAAATCAATTTGGAATTGTAGCACATTGGGATGAATTGCAGAGAAATGTTTGTTGCTCTGATAAAAATCTTAATCCAATGAAGCTGGAGGAATCAGGCTCTCTGACTTCAGACTATACTACAAAGCTACAGTAATCAAGACAGTATAGTACTGACATAAAAACAGAAATATAAATCAATGGAACAGGATAGAAAGCCCAGAGATAAACCCACACACATATGGTCACCTTATCTTTGATAAAGGAGGCAAGAATATACAATGGAGAAAAGACAGCCTCTTCAATAAGTGGTGCTGGGAAAACTGGACAGCTACATGTAAAAGAATGAAATTAGAACACTCCCTAACACCATACACAAAAATAAACTCAAAATGGATTAAAGACCGAAATGTAAGGCCAGACACTATCAAACTCTTAGAGGAAAACATAGGCAGAACACTCTATGACATAAATCACAGCAAGATCCTTTTCGACCCACCTCCTAGAGAAATGGAAATAAAAACAAAAATAAACAAATGGGACCTAATGAAACTTAAAACCTTTTGCACAGCAAAGGAAACCATAAACAAGACCAAAAGACAACACTCAGAATGGAAGAAAATACTTGCAAATGAAGCAACTGACAAAGGATTAATCTCCAAAATTTACAAGCAGCTCATGCAGCTCAATAACAAAAAAACAAACAACTCAATCCAAAAATGGGCAGAAGATCTAAATAGACATTTCTCCAAAGAAGATATACAGAATGCCAACAAACACATGAAAGAATGCTCAACATCATTACTGCAAATCAAAACTGCAATGAGATATCATCTCACACCAGTCAGAATGGCCATCATCAAAAAATCTAGAAACAATAAATGCTGGAGAGGGTGTGGAGAAAAGGGAACACTCTCGCACTGCTGGTGGGAATGTGAATTGATACAGCCACTATGGAGAACAGTATGATTTCTTAAAAAACTACAAATAGAACTACCATATGACCCAGCAATCCCACTACTGGGCATATACCCTGAGAAAACCAAAATTCAAAAAGAGTCATGTACCAAAATGTTCATTGCAGCTCTATTTACAATAGCCCAGAGATGGAAACAACCTAAGTGTCCATCATTGGATGAATGGATAAAGAAGATGTGGCACATATATACAATGGAATATTACTCAGCCATAAAAGGAAACGAAATTGAGTTATTTGTGGTGAGGTGGCTGGACCTAGAGCCTGTCATACAGAGCAAAGTAAGTCAGAAAGAGAAAAACAAATACCATATGCTAACACATATATATGGACTCTAAGAAAATAAAAGAAGAACCTAGGGGTAAGATGGGAATAAAGACACAGACCTACTAGAGCATGGCCTTGAGGATATGGGGAGGGGGAGGGGGAGGCTGTGACGAGGTGAGAGAGTGGCATGGACATATATACACCACCAAGCGTAAAGTGGATAGCTAGTGGGAAGCAGCCGCGTAGCACAGGGAGATCAGGTCAGTGGTTTGTGACCACCTAGCGGGGTGGGATAGGGAGGGTGGGAGGGAGGGTGACGCAGAAGGGAAGAGATATGAGGACATGTGTAATGTATAACTGATTCACTTTGTTATAAAGCAGAAACTAACACACCATTGTAAAGCAATTATACCCCAATAAAGATGTTTAAAAAAAAATCTTAATCCCAGGCCTGAACTTTGGATCATTCCCCTTCAGTGTAAAACAGAGGTGGTGTCAGACATGAAGGAATGGAATGGAGAAAGAGACTGGACTTGAGAGAGTTTGCTTAGGTTGTCTGCCCAGCTCACCCCTCCAGCCACAAATTTATGGTGGAAGGAGGGAGTGCCAGCTCTCAGGGTCTCCTCTCATTGTGTCAAGATCCAGTCTTCAAAGTGGGATCTGTGAAACTCTAATTCAAAAAGATACATGCACCCCAAAGTTCATAGCAGCACTATTTACAATAGCCAAGACACGGAAGCAACCTAAATGTCCATTGACAGATGAATGGATAAAGAAGATGTCGTATATACAATACAAAATATACAATGGAATACTACTACTCAGCCATAAAAAAGAGTGAAATAATGTCATTTGCAGCAGCATGGATGGACCCAGAGATTATCATACTAAGTGAAGTAAGTCAGAGAGAGACAAATATCATATGATATCACATATGTGGAATCTAAAATATGATACAAATGGACTTATTTACAAAATAGAAACAGACCCACAGACATAGAAAACAAATTTGTGGTTACCAAAGGGGAAAGGGGGAGAAGGATAAATTAGGAGTTTGGGATTAGCAGATACAAACTATTATATATAAAATAGATAAACAACAAGGTCCTACTGTATAGCATAGGGGACTATATTCAATATATTGTAATAACCTATAATGAAAAAGAATATGAAAAAGAACATATATGTTACATATATTCAGTTAAATATGTATAAGTGAATCACTCTGCTGAAAACCAGAATGTAACAGAAAATAGTACATCAACTATACTTCAACTTTAAAAACATGTAAAGTGGGATCCATAAGGAGGTGGAGAGGAAGCATTTAGAACTTTCATATTATATTAAACATTGTCTCATCTTACCTCATCAAAACATTTTCTGTTTTTTTTTAATTTATTTAATTTTTTGGGCTGCATTGGGTCTTCGTTGCTGCGTGTGGTTTCCTCTAGTTGCAGTGAGCGGGACTACTCTTTGTTGTGGCGCGTGGGCTTCTCATTGCAGTGACTTCTCTTGTTGTGGAACTCGGACTCTAGGCATGTGAGCTTCAGTAGTTGTGGCATGTAAGCTCAGTAGTTGTGGCTTGGGGGCTCTAGAGCACAGGCTCAGTAGTTGTGGCACATGGGCTTAGTTGCTCTGTGGCATGTGGGATCTTCCCGGCCCAGGGCTTGAATCCGTATCCCCTGCATTGGCAGGCGGATTCTTAACAACTGCACCACCAGGGAAGCCCCAAAATGTTCTGTTTTTGTGAGTGTTTTACAACATTCACCATCAATATAGTGATCTATATCTATGTAATATACTTAAAGTACATGCTGCAAAATTTTTTCTTGATAGAGCAAATTGATCAAATAAGTTCAGAGACAACTACGCTATACCTTTTAGCCACTTTGAAAGTTCCACCATTAGACTAGGAGGTTGGGGTGGAAGGCGAGGGGGGCATAAATGCTGATAAAGAAAAAGAAGTCCTAAGCCCTCCTGGAGGCCAAAAGTTTTCTTCCTCCACATTGAGACTGGGTAAGTTTTCCAGTAAAGATTATAGAGATGAAATCTATTTGATTAAAGAAATATTTGAGAAATAAGATTTATGTGACCAACTTGGTAATAATGACAGGGCAAGGGAGAATAAGAAATGATGACTCCAGGTTACACTGAGCCTGGAACAAGGATTGGACCATAAGTGGCCTTTAACTTTGACATATTACTTACAGACCCTTTCCTTAGAGGAAGGTACAATTGTACATATGCACACATTTTACCATGATTTCAGGGAGTTCACTGGATCCTATGAGGCTGATTCAGAGACCCTCTAATGTGTTAAGAACACTCTTGCTTAAAATTATGTCAGATATAATGTAATTTATATCATCAGACATAAAAGTACTAGATTTATAAGTATCACTTCCCCTCCCTATAATATAATGAATACTTTCTCAAAGGAATGATTCAGGAAGAAAATGTAACTTTCCAGTCTAATATAAAACAAAGCTTTCCTCTTTATTTCATTACATTAGAATTCTAATTAAAAAAAAAGAAAGAAAGGGAAACAAGTTAGGCACAGATAGTTTGTAATCCAAATAAAAGATTGAGGGAAGTTCTTGTTTGACTCAGAGCATCTCCCTTGCCCACTGGTTTTCTCTCTGTTATAAATATTTTTCCATCACTGCCTCCAGTGCTTCTGGTGGAGGCCGTTGAGCTCCTGTGGCCAGAACCAGGAGAACGTTTTCCCAACAGTACATTGCATTGTTTGCTTTTCCTTCACAGTTAACTTCTTTCCTGTCCCAGGGCTTAAGAGTAAAGGGAAAATAATTCATTGCCTTGGAGGGTCAGGGTAGGGTCTTTCACCCATCAAACAGGCAGGTAACAAAGATGAATGTGACACTGGAGTATTCCTACCCCGGCTGGAACTAAGGTGAGACACTGGCCTCCTGCTCTCTTTACCCCAGTCCAGGCCCTGATCCCTGGGAGGCTGAGAGAGGCGGTACCTTTCTTGCATGGAAGAATAAGTATGATTCCCAGAGACTGAAAAGAACGAAAAAGCAAGTAACTCACCTGACTGCACCCTGAGAGGAGCTGTGAGAGAATAGAGTCAGAGAGTTACCACAGGACCAGGATAAAGATCTTTTTTAAAAAAGTTATAGCCCTCTAAGAACCTTCCCAACAACTCTCTTTTTCCCTTTCTTTCTATCCCTTCTTCCCTCTACCCTCATCCTCCCTTCCCTTCTATCCTCCCTCCCTCAGTTCCTCTATTTATTTTCCCTCCTATTTTTCCCCTCCATCTTTCCTTCTTCCTTGACTCACAAGCAACACTCTCGTAGAATCAAATACTTGTTTTGTAAGACCCACAGTTTATAAACACAGTCCCTCTCATTTACCAGAAGTTGGTTATTTTGTAGGTAAAATCTCAGAAGTTTTGTGATTTATTTTCTCCTCTTCCACCTTCTCTTTTTAAGACTTTTTTTTTTTTTTGAGACATTTTGCCTGCCTGGTGGCAACACACAAGCCAGGAAGGACCAGGAAGGAAATGGAGGTGTCCTCTCACATCTAGTTGACACTGTTTCTCCCTTTTCCCCTGTTTAGATCTAGTTCTGTATTTGCATCCATATACAAGAGTCATATTAATCAGCAGAAACCACAATCGCATCTCATCATCTTTGAAGCCTCTCCAAAATTTAAGTCTAGGAGAGTTAGAGCTTAGCCGAAAATGTGGTAGCTTGAAGTGGAAGTGGGGTTGGGGGCAGAGTACGATTTAAATGGGTTAGAAATAGAATTTACCCTAACAGAAAATTCCTTTGATGTCCTTTTAAGAAGTTTTCCAATTTTCCTAGAGATCAAAGTAAAAATGGTTATTAAACAAAGGGAGAAGGCATCAGTATTTGGAAAAGAAACTCACAGTACTTGGTTTTTCCTGAGAACCCTGCTCTGCTCAGTACCCATCTGCATATTACCTATTGGTCCTGAGTTAGAAGCTGAAGCCCATTCCTACTCATCCCAGCAGAAGAAGAAGAGGTTCTGGGATGCCCAGGCACAGGGGGTTCTGCCCTGGCTGCCCCCAAATCCTGCTCCAGCATCCTACCCACCAAGGACCAGAAGCAATGGCCACAGCAACATAAGGTCGGAAGCGAGAAGTTCTCCCAGTGACAGGTGCAGCTCAGGTCCTAGAGCAGAATCCACAGTCTATCCCCATGGACTGTGAAGCCAGGATTGGGCACTGTGGTTCAGCAGGGATTTTATAGAAACAGAAAAAAAGGAAGTAGGAAAGCTCTCTGTTTGACAATCAGCATTGTCCCCACCCCCAGCCCCACATATGCTGAGAAAATAAATGTTCTTCTTTACAGAGTTTCTCAGATATGTGTGTATTGATTAGAAATTCTCCTTAAAATGTAAGATGTCTTCACCTTATAGCTAAAGTCCCTCTAGGGAAGCTTTCTAACTTGTTTTGACTTTGCTGATTTAGTTCCGTACCTGCTAAAATTCAAATTACCTGCATGGTCTCTTTCAAAGGGAAATCCCCTTTACCACTCAGAATGCATGGTCTGTTATGCAGTTCCTAATATTGTGACACCACGCTAACACCGCATGGATGCTGCCCTTTGGAGATCTGCCCAGACCACATGAAGAAATAAATAAGCATTTGTTAAAAATAATGGTGGATTAGGATGATATTAGTTGGTATTATGTAGTCCGGGGACTCAGGAAGATACAAATTCTACCCAACCCAAGTCATCCCTGCCCATGACATGTTCCAGACTGGTACAAGCAGAATGGAAGAAGTAATACACTCTATGGTATTAACCTTGAGGCATTAGCCCCAAATTACTTTACAGTGGTCTGAAGAGCTTTAACACACACAGGGCAGGTCACATCTGTCTCCTCATACTTAAAATTTCAAGAATAAATTTTGAAAGAGAGCTCTTATATCAGACTGGAAATAGAATCAGTCTAGTGTTTAAAAGAAGCGACTTTAATGAAAGGACTGACTCACAGAGATGGGGACAGGGTTGAAACAACAAACTAAACATGATGGGTCACCCCGAGGCCAGTCACAGTGGGACACTGTTTCAGCTGAAGAAGCAGTGTGAAGAAGCAAGGGGAGGAAGGACTGTTACAAGAGCCTAGTGAGAACTGGAGTCACCAAGGAGGGGCCGCCAGGCGGAGCTGTGACTGTGGAAGGATGAAGCTACTGCTGGAGATGAGACGCTGAAACTGAGAGGGAGGGGAAAATGCCCTGGCCTCTCCTTGCTGCCTGGTCTCCCCTTAGCACCTCCTACTGATGGAGTCCTACTGTACACCAGAGAGGCTGGCTGATGCAGTCTGCAGGAGTCAGCATCCCAGGGCACAGAGCAGCAGAGAAGGGCAGTGCATGGGTCTGGGGGTGGGGTGGGGTGAGAGTGGCTCAAATTGAGAGTAACTAGTGTAGACCTAAATGGGGGGAAAAAGGTTATACCAGCATTAGAAGCTCCTTCCCAGCAAAAACCTTTCTTTGTCCATGTTCCCCACCTGATACTGTCAATGTGTGGGTTGTTGAGATGAGACCAAGAAGATATTTGGGTGAGGCACAACTGAGCACCTTGATGATCCTCAGTCAGCCACATTAAGGAGGAATATTTTTTTTGTTTTGTTTTGTTTTGTTTTGTTTTGCGGTACGCGGTCGTCTCACTGCTGTGGCCTCTCCCGTTGCGGAGCACAGGCTCCAGACGCACAGGCTCAGTGGCCATGGCTCACGGGCCCAGCCTCTCCGCGGCATGTGGGGTCTTCCTGGATCGGGGCACGAACCCGTGTCCCCTGCATTGGCAGGCGGACTCTCAACCACTGCGCCACCAGGGAAGCCCTACTTGTGTTTTTATATGATTTAAAGACGATAACATTAGCAGATTCAGCTCTGAACATACAACACTTTTTGGATCATGGCACCAGGTTTCTTCTTGTGAGGCAATAATAAGGTTCAAGGCTATTTTATTTTGGAGAGCAACTTTTCTCCTCCATTGAGAGCATTTCAGTGTTTGGTAAGGACAGGCTTTGCTGGCTGTCATTTAAGGCTTGCTGGGTCAACTTTGTAAGGACTTCTATATATGCTGTAATGTCTTCCAGGCCAATGGAGGGAACAAAGACAACAGCCAAACTGACCGTACTAATGGAAAACAGAACATGCCCACTCGACCTCGAGGAGAATGAGGTTGGCAGCTTTAGGAATTTGACTCGGGTGTGCCCTGTGTGAGGCAGCACGGTCAGGCATGAGGACATGGTCTGGGGGTAGGGTATGCCAGACCAGAACCCTTACCTTTTCTCTTCTTTTAATGGTGTGTATCCCATTCCAGTTGCAGTGCGTTTCAGCAAGTCCAGTTTGTAGCAGGGCAGTTGGACCCCAATGGAGATCTAGTAGTTCTCCCTCACCCAGGGGTGTGAAGTATCTCACCCATCCTGGCGGGACTGAGACAGGAAGACAAGAATGCAGCCATTTTTGAAAAGGACCAGGGAACGGCCTTGAGCAAAACAGGCCTTGCCAGCTAAGGAACAAAGGCCCTGGGGGCCAGAGTTCCAGAGATAAAAAACTAGGAATAAAAACTAGGAATAAAAAGTTAGCTTTATCTCTGTTACACTAATGAGTATACCTGGTTGCCACAAGACAAAAACCTCAACTATACATTTTAAACTTACCTCTTCCTGTGCTTTCTTGCAGAAAAGTCTCATGCATTTCTTTCCCCCCACAGAAGCACTCCCTATTCCTGATAGCCACCCTTTGATCACCTGCTGCAGATCAAAGAAGTCTGATGATTTCTGGAAATGAGACAAAACCTCACTTTTGTTATAAAAGCAACTCGGCCCTTCTACTGGGGGAGCTGGCACTGTTTTTCTGCCTTCGCCCTTCTGCGCAAGTTATCTCTTTAAATAAAAAGCTTTGCTTGCCTAAGAATCTTGTGGAGGCCATATTCAATTCTATGATATTGCTGTCTAAGAATCTGGAAAGGGCCCGATGACAGGATGTCCCACTGAAAATTTCAGTAGACAATTCCTTAACTAGGCGCGATGGGGCTTCTCAGCAGCATAGCTCATTGATCCAATGGCTGCTTCTTGTGATTCCCATACCTTTACGATATTTAGTGCCTCAGCAGTGGTCCCCGATCTGGCATATACGGCAACAGGCCCTGCTGGTTAATCATTCAAATCTATGAAAGCCTGGGACATGACTTTGGTCCACCCAGCCAAGGTGGGTTTACCTGTTAGTAATTTACTCTGCTGTTTTCTGTTTGTTTGTTTGTTTTTTTGCGGTACGCGGGCCTCTCACTGTTGTGGCCTCTCCCGTTGCGGAGCACAGGCTCCGGACGCGCAGGCTCAGCGGCCATGGCTCACGGGCCCAGCCGCTCCGCGGCATGTGGGATCTTCCCGGACCGGGGCACGAACCCGTGTCCCCTGCATTCAT